CACATACAACTGGGAAAGCTTGAAAAACTGGGTAACATCTTGTTGGACTATGCTGTGTCATGGGTGGGATTTATCAGAACTCATGCTCTGTGGTGCAGCAGCTTGTGTTGAAAGCTGAAACAAACAGCAGGATGCTTTGTTCTTCTCACCCAGGATCAGTGCCTGCGATGTGGGTTTGCTAAGGGAAATGAACCTTAGTGTTTTGGGCCAAGATCACCATTTACATGAGAAATATGAGATTGCTGTTTCTACATAAATACCAGTATCTACACTGAGCAAATACTCCATGCCTCTTTCAAACTAGAAACTGAATAGGCAGACCCCAAAGACTCCTAGAGTTCAGTACACAGAGGCAATAATTGAATCTTGCTCTACAAGACCCTAGACTTGCTTTTACAGCTTCCGCTTGGGGATTTGTAGCTTCCTTGAACTACCAACAAATAGGGCCAGCAGTACTGCTACTTTTGTGCAAGTTAGAAAGTCTCCCTCCCTAGTGTGAGGGGATTGGTATGTACTAACTTCCACGGTACTTAGGGCTGAGCATTTGCATCATCACAAACTATAAGAAATATCTCAAATTCCTTCCTGCCTCTGAAAATTCTCATTGAAATCTGGTCTCTGTTGGCCTTCAGCTGCACTGCAGAGACCCCTCAAGTGTGTGGGGAAAGCTGAGATGTTTGAAGTTCTGTAGAAACTCTGGTAAGACTTCTTTTCTTGTATGTTTTCAGAGTTCGCTGTCTTACCTGCTAGACATAGTGTTGAGTTCCTGCTATTGAAATGGTTTTACTTCATTTGAACCTAAACAAATGCAGCAAATAGGTGACTAAAAATAGGCCTTCTCCTGCACTAAAAGCAGTGTTAGGCAGTACTATGGAAAAACAAACGCTGCTCTAAATAATTTGCATCATAGAGATTAAAAATGTAGAGGCAATGAGCTGGACAAAAATTGTAGAAATACCTGAGGGGGGAAACAAGAATGAAAAATAATCTGCATCTGAAACTGTCACAAAACGTGGTGTGCTAGTGGTACTTAATCAAGATCAGAAAGCAAAACAGTTCATTTCTCTGTAAGTTATCAAATCCTTCTGGTAAGTGACACTCTGGAAACATTTGATAGCTTCATAACTGGCTGACTTAATGTTTTACATGCAGGAAAGATGGCTAGAACTACAGTAATCAGCAGAATAAGCTGGTTTCATGGTTGAGCTTTGGTGAGGTGCTACATTGTGTGGGTAGCATTTATAAGAGCTCTCTCACTTTTAATTCTGTAGCAAAGATGACTGTTTGCTTCACAAATTAATAATATTTTCCTTTCTCTTATAATGCCAAACTAATTCATTATATCACATTTTATTTTATGACTATTTGTCTAGTCTTCTTTTTATAGCACTCTCATTAAGATGGAACATTTTAAGCTCTTTACTCTTTCTGTCTCTGCAATAACGTAATGCCATTATAATAATTTTACCAATAGGTTCCAAACTCTTGTTCCTCCTCCTCACATACGTAAGCTGCAGGCACAGGTCTGGCATCAAAATTCTTCTTATTAATGTCATCATTTATACTGCAATTTTCAGATTAACTTCCATTATTGTTTCTCATGTTTTTACTTTGTTTTTTATGATTAAGAAAGACCAGACATCCATATGCTTTTATTAAACACAGCAATTGCTTTGCTACCACTTATCACAAGGAAATCGTGGTTCCTTCATGGGAGTGAAGGAGACGGGCTGAGAAAGCTGGGGCTGTTCAGCCTGGAGAAGAGAAGGCTGCGTGGAGACCTAATAGCAGCCTTCCAGTATCTGAAGGGGGCCTATAGGGATGCTGGGGAGGGACTCTTCATTAGGGACTGTAGTGACAGGACAAGGGGTAACGGGTTAAAACTTAAACACGGGAAGTTCAGATTGGATATAAGGAGGAAGTTCTTTACTGTGAGGGTGGTGAGGCACTGGAATGGGTTGCCCAGGGAAGCTGTGAATGCTCCATCCCTGGTGGTGCTCCAGGCCAGGTTGGACAAAGCCTTGGGTGACATGGTTTAGTGTGAGGTGTCCCTGCCCATGGCAGGGGGGTTGGAACTAGATGATCTTAAGGTCCTTTCCGACCCTAACTATTCTGTGATTCTATGATGCTGTGAGTGGACAAAGCAACTTCACTCTCAGGTTTCAGAGGGCTCTGTCAGAAATACACCTTAAGCATTTGATTTATGGTTCCTGGATGCAGGGCAGCCATGATGCTAGAAGTGGACATGGGCTTCCTTTGTCCTCTTTTGCTTTTCAATGCTGGATGCTCCATAGGACCAGATAACCAGTGCTTTGTACAATAAATATGTGAAATAGGAAGGGATGCAGTCTAAGTCTTATTCAGTAAGTGGATGGCACCCAGAGGAAGGTAATGAAATGGTTGAATGAAAGTCAGGCTGCAAAAGGAAGACTCTGGAGGAATTGAGAGGAAGTCAAACTTGTTCTGATAATCATTATGTGATTCCAAGTTAAATTCATTATTATACTCTTACAGTATTACAAACTCTTGTAAAAACCTGTCACTTATTCAGAAATGCTTTGTCTTGACTGTTCTGAAATACAGCCTATAAATAATCTGGAAAAGGAAGTGTTGCCAGTTTCTGTCTAATTGCTAGAAAATATTTCCATGTTTTGCTGAATTGCTGTTTTCAGTTCTTCCAACATGAAACTGATGCTCTCATGATATGTGATCACTAGAGATACCATAGCATTTTTGCAATTGCAAAGTGTTTAAAGAGAATACCCCAACAAAACCTGAAGTCAAGACATTTTACAAGTCATGCAGAGTTCTCTTCAGCTCCTGCCCTAATTTGTTTGCACCACCAGTGGTGGGTGAGTTGGTCCTATTAGTCACCTTCACAGAACTAGAATTGGCCAGGAATTTGATACAGAGAACGCTCACTCTGTGTGTGTGTGTGTGCACATGTGCATCCATGCAAACAGCAATTAAACTATGTTTGACAAAACTTTCCTGAGGTCAAAGTTAGACTTTCTTTTCAGTGCCAGAAATGGGAACTAGGAAAGCCACTTTCTTGAAGGCTGTGGTACTCAGCTGGGAAGTGAGGCACAGATTACTACTGCCTGATCCCATATCAGAGGCAGTGACATGCCTAGACCACTGACTATCCCAGTAGAGTGCTCACTCTCTCTGCACTTCCAGTGGAAAAGTTTCAAGGCTGGCAGGCCCTCCTTTTTTTAACTAAATATCTGTGAAAGATTACAGTTTTGCACTGGTACAGTTTGGGAAATTCTTATCTTGAAACTTTGCAAGTTCAATAGCAAACATTGTAATGATCTATTTTTTGCATTAAAGCTCTTTGAGACTGCTAAAGGGGGCATGCTATGAACATCACTGTTCTGTTACAGCACAGGTCACCAGCAGATTTAGGGGTGAGTACTGTAAATCTATATCATGCAATAGAACTAGAAATCCTTATTTTCAACAGGTGTGAGACACTTAAACGTTCTTTATTCACTAGACAGAAGAAACCGACTATAAAAAGTTCAAAACGATTAAGCATCATTCTTTCTTATGCAAGAAAGGTCTCTGATCTGAAAAACTCCTATGTATATCACCCATTTAGGTGCTGTAACCTACTAAGGAGTAGCCTTTTGAATCCATTTCCAGATGGAGTTTTATCTCTGCTGGTAATATTGCGCTTAGTTCTTCTCCTTTTCCAAGTCAGATAGGGCAGTATCCAACAGAGATATGCAGTCAGGCATCTTATTTGTACTTTTTGTAGGTATTTAAGCATGGGATACCATAGCACACCCTTTTGAAACTGGCAAAGTATGTAGTAGGCTCTGCCCTTGGCTCATAGTCCTGCTGCAAATAACTCACTCTGGGACAGAGATTTCTAACAGCAAGGCAGTCTGTACATACGTATTCATTGTCACCAAAGCAGTCTGCACTGGGCACATATTATACAGAGTCTTTTAACTAAAAATGGTTGTCTCTACACTTTTTAAATTCAGGTAATTCGGGCTTATTTAATGGGCCTTACATTTGCTCCTGTACATTCCTTTTCCCCATATTTATTTTTAAAGCTGTAAGTTTATGCCTTTGTGAGTATTCTGGGCCTTACAGACTACTGTATGGTCACATTTCTGTGTGAATCCACAGACAGCTGCTGTTGCAAAATGAAATCTCTAGCATATTTTTTTTTCATGGTGAGCTTCTGTTTCTTCATTCCAAAGGCACAAAATAAGATGGTCACTGTTAACTCACTGGCTGAGGGAATACCAGACGACACTCAGTTCTGTAGTAGGACAACACAGCAGCAGTAACTCTTTTTTTTTAATATGTGGTAATATTATTACTTACAAAAATCAAGGAGAGTACAATACAAATGAGTACTAATAAACTAGTACTTGCTTTACAGTGTCTGCAAGCATGACTCAAGACAGAAAAGAAGGTAGGAGTGATGCTAAAAGACACTGCAGCAGCTATACAGATGGTGATTATAATCTCTGAATTCCTAGGTGGTGAAGCGGAAAGCTTCTCCCCTTTGGTATTTCTGTTGGAAAGGGTGAGTCAGGATGAGATCTCAAATTTACCCACAGACATTACAGGAAATGTGAGAATGCCACAGTTCAGACTACCTTGAACAAAGGCATGGAGAATCATGGGAAGGTTGAGGTGGAAAGGCACTTCTGTAGATTGTCTAGTTGACCACCATTGCTCACAGCTGGGTCAGCTGCCATGCCAGTGTTTGACTACACTCAGTAAGAAAGTTTTCTTATATTTAAATGGAATTTCTTATATTGTATCTTCTCCTGTCACAGGCTGCCACTAAGAAAAGTCTGGCTCTGTCCTCCTCACAGTCCCTCATCAGTTATTTATATGTACTAATAAGATGCCTCCAGAGAGTTTCCTTTTTAAAGCCAAACAGCCCTAACCTCTGTGAACTCAGGAATGGCCCTTGCTTGACTTGGATGTAACCAGTTAACCTGTTGGGAGGCAAGACATTGCTCGCTTTTAACACAGTTGTGCAGGCTGCTCCCAGAGTTCTGTGACTTTTGTTTCAAGGCTGCTTGTTTCCTTTGCCTGTACTGAGCACATCTGACTTTTTCCATCATGGAGGCTGTGCTACAGAAGACTCTTACATGGGTGAACTGCTTGGTCTGCAATGGAAATAGCAGCTCAGTTAGAGAACATGCATTTATTGACCTAAACAATTACCCCAAAGTAGTACCTTTTTCCTATAAAGCAATAAGCCTACCCAAATTGCATTACAATCCTATGAGCTTCAAACAATATGCAGGATATTGTACTTCTTAGGGTTTGATGCTATTTATCAAACCAAATTACAATTTGCTATCATTGTCAGCAACAATGAGAACCTAAGAATATAACTGTGCCTATAGCAGGTCAGACAAATGATGCACTTCAAACATTGTTCGCTTTCCAACAGTGACCAAAAGCAGATGTCAGGAAAGAGAATAAAATCAAAGAAAGTATGCTATGAATCCTTCCTAGAATACTGTCCCAGCCCTCCCTCACCAGCAGCTCAGGAACTTCAAAGGCTGATGTCTTTGTATCTGAGGGATTCCTCTTCCATGGATTTATCCTGTCACTTTTTGAAACCCTGTGGACTTTGAGTCCAGGTAAACAAGGATGATCAGCTGTTCTGCATTACAAGTGAAATGCAAGAACTTAAAAAAACTCAAATAGCCTTGAAAACAGCAAGAAAACCTAGACAGACAAAAGGTGATATCGGAGGGAGTTTTCAAAGCTTGGAAACAGTGAAATGTTTGTTTCACAGTGGAAAACTAGTTATGTTTCCATATCAACTAGAATAATTTGTAGCTGTATTATATAAAGCTAATAACAAAATCACCACTTGCTCCTCTGTAAACCACTAACACTCATCACCTAGTTATGAAAACGTAACTAGAAGGAAAGATGCAAATGGCCAAATTAATTTTTTCCCCTTCAACTCCTTTTTTTTTCTTCAAGCAAAAGAGGCACCAAAGCAATCCATCACGCAAGCATTACAGAGCCCTCCCTGATGTCACTAAAACATGTACTGTAACCACAGCAACCCAATGAGAAGTTGCATGACTGGCTTACTTGGGGTTTTTGCTGCAGCTTTTTTCTTATCTAGCAGAGAAGGAAAGAAACCAACAGCCTGCAGAGCTAAATGCCTATATCAATATAATATGAATCAATGACTTGAAAAATAAAGAATCCTGTGTTGTTGATTGCATGTGCAGTAAGACCCCTAGCATAAGAAGTAATACATTTGTATGCTTCCCTCATACTGTGAACACCAACAAAACAAATAGTGCTTAAAAATCCATGGGTCTTGCCATGTGGGGCTGGTTGAAGCAATGGAAGCAGAGCAACAGGCAAAGCAGAGGTAAACCCATCTGGGCTGCTGCACTGTGGCAAGATATCGCTGCCCGGGTGCAGAACCTGGTGGTGAAGGTACGTCATGTAGATGCCCATGTACCCAAGAGTCGGGCCACTGAGGAACACCAGAACAACCAACAAGAGGATAAAGCGGCTAAGATTGAAGTGGCTCAGATGGACTTAGATTGGCAACATAAAGGTGAATTATTTTTGGCCTGGTGGTCCCGTGACACTTCAGGCCATCAGGGCAGAGATGTAACATATAGATGGGCCCATGATCGAGGGGTGGACTTAACAATGGACACTATTGCCCAGGTTATTCATGAGTGTGAAACATGTGCTGCAATTAAACAAGCCAAGCGGTTAAAGCCTCTTTGGTATGGAGGACGATGGTTGAAGTATAAATATGGGGAGGCCTGGCAGACTGATTATATCACACTGCTACCAACCCGCCAAGGCAAGAATCATGTGCTTACCATGGTGGAAGCAACCACCGGGTGGCTGGAAACATACGCTGTGCCCCACGCCACTGCCCGGAACACTATCCTGGGCCTTGAGAAACAGATTTTGTGGCCACATGGCACCCCAGAGAGAACTGAGTCAGACAATGGGACTCATTTCCAGAATAACCTTATAGATATTTGGGCCAAAGAGCATGGCATTGAGTGGGTATATCACATCCCCTACCACGCACCAGCCTCTGGGAAAATCGAATGGTACAATGGGCTGTTAAAAACTACACTGAGAGCAATGGTGGGGGAACATTCAAGCATTGGGATACACACCAAAGGCCACCTGGTTGGTCAACACCAGAGGATCTGCAACAGGGCTGGCCCAGCCTAGTCAGAACTTTTACATACTGTAGAGGGGGACAAAGTTCCTATGATGCACATGACGAATTTGCTGGGGAAGACGGCCTGGGTTATTCCTGCTTCAGGTAAAGGCAAACCCACTCGTGGGATTGCTTTTGCTCAGGGACCTGGGTATACTTGGTGGGTAATGTGGGAAGATGGGGAAGTTCGATGTATACCTCAAGGGGATTTGATTTTAGGGGAAAACAGCCAATGAACTCAATCGTATGCTGTTGCCTGCTGTGTAATACTTTTATAGCCCATCAACTAGATGTCTCCAGGTCACCAGTGACTGGCCCTGACTTCCCCCCAACCATCGTTCCAACAGAGAATGAACTTTGATAGAACCAGACGAGTTCTGCAGTAAAGGAACGATCAGCATCAGCAGGCAACAATCCAACACTGCACACAGCCTTTCCTGCCCTGAAAGACTTTACAAGAGATGGAACCTAACATCATGGACCGAATGGACTCGGCAGCATTATAGGGATTGGTCCATGCACTAAGAAATGATCTCTTTCTCTGTGTGTGTGTATGTGGATGTATACATATATGTAAGAGCGATGGTATATTGAAAATGTGGGATCTAAGCATGACGTGAATGGTATGGAATAAGGGGTGGATACTGTCCTGGGTTTAGCAGCAGCAGCCATTTTTTTCTCCTTCTTAGTAGCTGGTGCAGCATTGTGTTTTGACTTTCAGCCTGGGAGTAGAGCTGATAACACTGATGTTTTTAGTTGTTGCTAAGTCTTGCTTACTCTGCCCAAGGACTTTGTGAGGCTCATGCTCTGCCAGGGAGGAGGCGATGCCAGGAGGAAGCAGAGACAGGACACCTGACCCGAACTAGCCAAAGAGGTATTCCATACCACAGCACGTCATGCCTGGAGAGTTAACTGGGAGTTACCCGGAAGGACATGGGGCTCTCATGTGGGTCGGACTCGTTTCGGCAGATGGTATCATATTCTCTTCCCTTATTTCCCTTATCATCATTATTATTGGTGGTAGCAGCAGTGGTTTGTGTTACACCCTTAGTTACTGGACTGTTCTTATCTCAACCCGTGGGAGTTACATTTTTTTGATTCTCCTCCCCACCCCTCCGGACCGGGGAGGGGAGGGGGGGGAGGGAAGGAAAGAAGGAGGAAAAGAAGGGGGCGGAGTGAGTGAACGAGCTGCCTGACTGGTTTTAAACCACGACAGTCTCAACACAGAAAAAGGTCTTTAAAAAGATCTGGGAATAACCAACTGGAATATAATCACATCCAAAAGCACCTTTGAAGAGATACACAGCAGCACCTGAAAGGACACTTTCATCAAAGGGAGGATAGTTCAGCTAACAAAAACAAGCATCAGCTGTGACGCTGATCTCTATGGAATGTACCAAACACAGCTTCATTGCTAATGGCTTTCCCATGGCCACACCTTGCCTCTGTTGCTGATGCAGTATGCTAGATGGACAGGGATAAAGAATTGCAGCAACCAAACAGGGCAAGCAGCCAGAAGAGTTGATTTTGAATTAAAGAGAGGACATATGTGTGTGACTTTTCTGTGGTCACCTGAAACAACAGAATGAACCGCTTTCTATAAACATCTAAAGATCTGTGGAAAGAAAACTGAGTTCTATCAAACCATATTTTCCAGGGATATCTAATGAAACTTAGCTCCATTCCTGTCCTGGCAGCAAACCAAGGCATCTTCCAGACTGAAGTGGATTCCTGAGGAATTCCAAAGATTGGCTTGGGACAGTGATATGATTAGCCCCAGACACTAATGTAACATTAATGTTTAGCAGCAGTATCAATACAGTGAAAGCAGAGAAACACCAACTTTCACCTTTCCTGATAGCCATCCAAGCAATTCATGAGGGTGTAATTATAAGGGCTGGCTCCCCCAGGTGAGAACAGGTCAAGAATCTTGCCTCCCAGGTATGTATTCAACAGTGGGTGCTTAGTGAGGAATGGAACAATAGAAAAAGCAAATGGTAATGCTATTCTAAAAGATTGTCATAAACTACAAAAATCTGCAGGTTGAGGACTTCTTTGGGTTAACGTCTTTGTGACTCAGCTGACTAAGCTGAAGACACAGAAAATCCAGGATTCTGTATCTATCCAAACAATACGGATGACTCTATTTCCCCAGCTTCACTACACTGCAGCAGACTCCAGCAAGCTGCTTGACTTCTCTGGATATGGCTGTGCATTGCTGTGGCTTGGTCAGAATTGCATTAGGCTACAGACCCAAAAGTGAAGAGGCACTTTGGCTAGGACACCAAAAGCTCCCAGAGCAAACATTCACTTTTAATGACCAGCAACCACAGAGCTGAGATCAAAGAGACCAAACACGAAATGCCTTTTCTTTTAAGTTTACCAAAAGTCAGTCATGGGCAAGTAGGGAGCTGCACATTCCTATATGATGCCTGTACATCTGCCTGGGCCAATTTACTAGTAGCTGGGAACAGTTTAGACTTGAGTAGAGCTTAGTGAGGTTTTATGCTGAGAACAAGGGTGTATCAGTTACAGCAGAGCTTGCTGAATGGGACTAGATACTTCCCACATTCAGGCTTGTTCTGTGATCCAATTAAAGTCTAGTTTGAATACATTCATCCTGAACTGTATAGTGTGCACCAAAGACACAGGACAGATAACCAAGATGGGAGCTGGGCACCTGCAGAGCCCAGCACTTTCACTACTAGTGCTGTGTCTTGGCCCTATTAACTTTCGTAACTTGCATGCACTGCAGTTTCTTCTGGTTGCTCTCTCAGAGTGAAGTCCCTGAAAAGCAAACTGATTTGACATGGTAATATGTAGCTGTGGAAGACCCTCAAAATGAGGAAGAATGTCATATCTTCAAGGTCCAGGCTCAGCAATTAAGAAGTTGTGCAACTTCTTCCCAAGCTAGGAACTTCACTGAAGAAACCTGGA